ACCCGGGACCTTTGGCTTTACGCACCAATGTTCTGACCACTAAACTACGAGAGGTGACAACAACAACCACGACCAACCGACCTACAAGGTTAACGATCCGTCGAACTAATGTAACTATATACTGAATATACTATGATTAAACATACATATAATTTAGATATCTTTTAGAAGTGAGTTAGTTTAATATGAAATATTATTCTGAAAATTCATTTCTGAATTTTTTACCCACTACACGCTACCTCAAATTAATGAGGGAAAAATTGTTGCTGTTGTCACACCCCCGCCGGGAATCGAACCCGGGACCTTTGGCTTCACGCACCAATGTTCTGACCACTAAACTACGAGAGGTAGTACTACAGCAACAACGACCAACCGACCTACAAGGTTAACGATCCGTCGGATTAATGTGACTATATATACTGAATACAGTATGATTGAACATACATACAATTTTAGACAACTTTTTAGAAGTGAGTTAGTTTAATTTGAAATATTAATCTGGAAATTCATTACCCACTACACGCTACCTCAAATTAATGAGCGAAAAATTGTTGCTGTTGTCACACCCCCGCCGGGAATCGAACTCATTAATTTGAGGTAGCGTGTAGTAGGTCAAAAATTCAAAAATGAATTTTCAGATTAATATTTCATACAAATTTCAAAATTATAGAAAATATGAAACACATATATTGATTGAGTGATATAAAGAGCAAAAGGCTGTTATAGATATTGAGCAGCAACGTAGAGAAGTAAATACTAGGAAGAGTGTCAAACAAGGATTCACACTGTCACCGCTACTTTTTAATCTATACATCGCAGACGCGATAAACATCACTAAACACAAGATAACTTTAGGATAGACATACAGGGAGAAAAGATTAATATGCCTAGATTTGTAGATGATACAGCAGTAGCAAGAAGAAATTAGAGACAGGATTAAATAAAAAGGATGCGGTATTGACAAAACAGTATTGTATGAATGTAAATGCAAGGGAAGAAAGAGTAGGGAGAGAGCGAATATAAAGATAGGAGACTAAAAATTGGAAGAAATGGCTGATTTTCAGTAGGTATCTAGAAAGTCAGATAACTCAGGATGAAACGAGTAGTAGAGATATAAAACAGAATAGCACAGGGTCGAGTCAGCTTCAACACAAAGAAGTCACTTCTATGCTCGCGAACGGTTAATTTAGAAATTCGAATAGTGGTAGACCTAGATTAGATTACTGTTCACTAGCAGTTAAGAATGTGGGATGTTCAAGTTCTAGAAAAATTAAAGTGAAGATTATTTCAGGATAAGGAAGAGGTACGTGCAGAGGCAGATTAAGTGAGCACTCTAGGCTAGCACGTCATAGGCGCCCCTCTGGCGGTCATATATTTTGCAAATTTTTTTTAGGTACTTCTTTTTTTTAAGGTTTAAAAATTTCCGCGCGCGCCCCTTTTTAAGCTTGCGCACATAGGCATATGCCTACTTTGCTTTATGGATAATCCGCCAATGGGTACGTGTCCAACCAGTCTTAGGACTGACGCCCCTATAATGATGACAATGATGATGTTAGTTGATAGAGTGTACGTGTAATGAATGAGGTAGTAGTTCGATGATTATTTAGAGATGCTTTTGTTGAATCAATAAATCAGTATTTTTTATCCAAAAAGTTTGGACATAAATTCTTTTTAAATCAGGCTTCTGAAGGTTAAAAGACAGTTGCAAACTTTTTATAAGTACCTGCGAGAGGGAAATTTTTAAAATCCTGCTTACTTAAATGAGGAATCGAAGAATAAAAACACGTAACTACTATTTAGTCAATATCCAATAACGGCAAGTAAGTTATAAAACACAAACTCCTAGAAATTGTACAATCAATGTGCACCAAAGTGAATCCTTTGACTCCACGACATACGTCTTTGTAAACTAATGGGTGTCATGAAATAAAAGGTAATTTTTTAATAAAGGACCTTGATATTTCATTAATCGAAAACATGCGATAAGGGGACTTATAAGTCGAAAGAAGAAATTTTCTTTAATCCTAATTGATTGTAAGATAAAATCATAAAGTAAACACAAACAAGTGCTTTTTCGGTAGCGAATTTTCTTAGTAAGAAAGGCGAAACATGAAGAGACTGAGATAATTATGAAAAATATCCTAAACTAAACGAACTCTCAAAATGTTTTGAACAAAGCGTAGCTTTAAATTGCATGTACTGAATTTACATTACTTTATTATTTGTACTATAAGGTGGTCAGTTTGGTCAGTAATTTATCGGAAGTTACCATTACGTGCTGATGAGATACAATTAAATAAAAATTACGACCCAGATCCATGATAAATTACTAACCAAAAGCCTAATCCGATTAATAAGCTGCGTCATCAATATAGTTGAACAAGTGGATACCTTGGTAAGGCCCTTCTCTAACATTTTAATTGCCAAATAAACATTTCACCCTGTTGGAGCATCATCAGGAGTAAAACTACATCAAGTACTGTATGTACAGTAACGGTTTGTTTCAATAAATTGACAACAGTGTTTGTTTATGTCACTGAACTGTAATGAAACAGCAGTTAAGAGCTGAGTTATTTTTTAATTATCTCAATTTGTTCCAGAATGGGAAACAGTGCCCTAGCATGTACAAAGATGTTCACTACAAAGCCAACAGTTGGAGGCAGCACTGAGGAAGACGATATAAAGTCAGAGACTTTATGTAAAGTAAAATCGGTTAATTGGTTGATCAGAAAGACCTCAGCGTCGGACACCAGTGAGTGTTTCTAATAAGTTCGAACTGTGGAGAAATCAAACATATCACTTTGTAAATGACTACATACAAGAATAAATGAAAGTAATAAATTTAACGGTTAAAAATAATAATAAAAAAAAGAAATGAACCAGAAAATGCATCGGTCACGTGAAAAAGACTATTAGGCAATGATTAATTAAATACGTACAAAGTAGAATCAGTGAATTATTTTACGTACCCACCTTTTTTATGGCCTGGTCGTTCTCTGAATTGAAACATATCCTGAAAGTATTTGTCGTTGCAGAAATTTGTCGGAAAGTTCAATTAAGGATGAATCAAAATTGGAGGAAGTACCTACATGCCCGAAATAAAAATGTTCAGTCTCTCATAGTCTCTGAAAGCGAGACTCGAGTCTCCGTCTCTCATCGAGTCTCTCTGGTGTCGCTGAGAGAAACTGTCGAGAGACTGTCTAAAAAACTGTCTCGAGTCTCTGAGCGAGAGACTCGAGTCGCTTATACAAAAATCCTCATTTCGTATACAGTCTCTGAACGAGAGACTCGAATCTCTGAACGAGAGACTCGAATCTCTCAATAAGTGGTGTCTCGATAGACATGGTTAAAACACAGATCCCAGTCTTTCTACGAGAGACTCGAATCTCTGAACGAGAGACTCGAATCTCTCAATAAGTGGTGTCTCGATAGACATGGTTAAAATTTTCTAAGATCAACTTATTTCATAGATCCCAGTCTTTCTACGAGAGACTCNGTCTGGTTAGAATTTGAGAGTTTGATGTACTTAAAAAAGAAATAAATTAAAGGTAGGGATTGTATTTCATAGAGGACTACGAAAGGGATTTTTCAGTTTTCATTTCTAGTTTTAAAGATGATTTTAATAATATATTCGTTTAGTGATGTAAAACAGAATAAAACGCTGGAACAATTTTCTGGCTTTTGAAACAGGATGACATTAAATATCGACATATTCCTCTAATGCCACTTGGATAGACTTCTCAATAGTACGTTATGGTTCGTAACTTTTTCAAGACGGAACTAAAATGTCGTTTCCCCAAGAGATTCTGTATATTTCCCGAACTCGTTTTAAAGGATAAGAACGAACATCGTGTTCTCGTGTATTGTAGGAATTTTAAATTCAACAAAGAGTTCCGTGGTTTCCATTAAATCAGTTTGGAAAGAATTTTAACTAGCGAAAACTATGGACCTTTTGTACTTATGTATTTAAATTTTAAGCACTGCTAATCTACTTTTATACTTTTCATAGGTATCCTTTACTATAAATAAGCTGTTTTCTTCTATGTATATTTTAGGAATAGTAACATAAAATATAGTTAAAAAGTGATAAAAGCTTAGTTAAAAAAAATTAAATCTGCTGTATTTATTGGTTATGCCACAATAAAAACAAGAATGGTTAACAAGGAAATTCTAAAAAGATTTAATGCTAAACGGCTCTGTAGGGGTGCAAAATGTCGGTGGAAAGTGATAAAAATACTGTGAATAGAAAATGCGCTAAAATTCACACCACTCAGAGATATACATAAACATGACCCAACTGCTCCGGCAATGGTGATCATGGCTCGTATTTGCGTGATGCCGTCAATGCATTCCTATTGCACTGTCCGTATGTGACCACCATGTCCGCATATTCTCGCACTCAACTTATTTTGTATTTTGTGTTAATAGCAGTAACATTACTTAACGAGTGCAGACTGCTAGTAATCAATACGTGCAATTGCCCTGTGTACGTACCAGTTGTTGCGAAGGTCACGAATAGGTACATGTGTTTCGTCAGTTGACGATTGAGGTAACAAAAATCGATAAAATAACGCGGCTTCCAAACTGGCAATTTTTCTAAATCCTTGACGGCTCATTGTGTGAGTACTTTTTGTGCATAGTCTTTACATCCCCTACGTTGTGGTGCTATCACGAGATGCACTGTACGGTGCCTCCAGATGATAGATTTGAAGACAGTGTATAATATAACACATTTGTATTAAGCTTATAATATAGCCCTTCCCGAATGTGTGAATAATTTCAGATGTTGTTCAGGAAAAAAAAACATTAGACAATAGTTTATGTCCCCGGGGTAACAAAGTTTAGTTTGTTAAAAGGCATGATCGTAGAGAAAGGATGAGACGGATTAATTCAAATGTCTATGTATCTGTTATACGAACGTATTTTCCAGATGCATGCGCTGAGAAGGTTAATGCAAGGCGATGCGAAGCATCCGAAAGCCCCCCTGGGAAACAACTTCCGACCGCCGCAGCCCCTTCACCATCGGCCTGTCAGAACCAACATAGACTTTAACGTCAAACATCCAGGAGTGGTAAGTTATTTCTATTTTTATTATATCCTTTTGAGGATATTACATACCTACAATCCTGCCTTTTTACTATCCATCGTAACAGGAACACGCCACTACAGTATGAACAATTACTTCTCTCACACATACCCACTTGAAAATTTCTGCTATCGCACATAAAAAAGTTATGTATGAACTACAAAGTAGATAAGGACCTACGTGCTTACGATAAATATTGTAGATTTTATCGCCAGACAAAAATTTACAATCACTCTTGCGAGCTCAAATATACCTACCTACTAATGCTAATTTATTTCTAACTGTTAACTTTGTTATTTTTAATTATTAATAGTGGTTAATATGAAATATTAATGTGAAAATGAATTTTCAATTTTCCATCCACTACACACTATCTCAGGATAGTGAGGGAAAATCTTTTGTTCCTGACAACAGTTTGTTGTGACAACAACAATAAAAAGAAATTTCCCTCACTAACCTGAGGGTAGTTTGTAGTGGACGGAAAATTGAAAATAAATTTTCGCATTAATTTGGATATTAGATATGTCGTTTTGCGTAACTTTAACAGGATCAGAGATAGATCTGGGTTGGGAAAAAAATGTAACACAAGAAAACCCTTAAAATT